GCAATCTCAGCAAGAACAGCCTGACAGGAAGTTCTCCTAGAACATAGAGACTCCACATCCCCTCCCGCCTCCTCAAGACAATCAATCTCAGAAAATTCAGCAAGGACTCTATTCTTCCTCCATTCCAAATTCCCGAATACATCCTTGTTCCACTGCCTTCATTAATGTATTCATAATTTAAGAATAAATTTAATTACTTCAGACACTTAGCATACACTTTGCCGACACTTGTTTCACACTTGCAAGACACTTAGCCGACATTTCCCGAACACCCCTAATGCAAGTGTTATGTAACACAAACACATCTAGAATAGCCATGTTCAATATACACAGTTTCCAACTCTTTTCTTGAAGAAAAATTGCCACTATACACATGGTCACAAGTGAAACATATAATGATATTTGATCATATAGAACAAAAACATAATTGTAATGACAAAATTGTGGAATATGATATTGAGTAACACTTATTGCAACAATTGAATAACTTCATTTTCTAAATAATGACAACTCTTCATATAGAAATTAGAACTGAATTAAAGCTCTATAATACTCATACTCAATTAATGTATAAAAATAAAATTTTATATTTACGTAAAGACGTGTCCACACCGTATTTGTGCCCTACTTTTTTAGGATTTATTATGATAATGTACTCTTGTCGTATTGTGTTCGTGCCTATGCTATTTAGGCTAGTATGCTATCATTTTCACCAGCAATACGCAAAAGTTTTGAAGCAACTAGTATGAGTCGTATCATCTAAAAACAGAGTGATCGAGATCCTAGGTAGGATCAATAGGGGTTCCGTAGGATCAGAATTATAGGATTGGATCGAAAATCATAAGATTCTAGAAAACTAGTAGCATACCTTTTTTTTTTTCCTAGTAGCATACTTACTCCAACTAAACTTTATAAATAGAACAATCTTTAAAATAAATACAAAAAAAAACATATAGAAATACTAATCAAAGCATATATAACATACACATAAGGACAAGTTCATCCATGTATATCTCGCACTAACTATGCACAGACACAATTTTCAGTTCAGAAAATAAAATAAAAACAGAGAGAGAAAAGGAAGAAAGGAGAAAAATAACACAGTCTCTCTTTGTTTTTTTATTAATAAAATAATAATAAACCTCACAGTTTTTTAATTAGGGTTAATTTCACCGACACCCCCCTCAGGTTTGACCAAATATCACATTGAAACACCTTTCGAAAATAACTATCACTCACATTACAAACATTTGGTCCGATTTTCACTCACACCCCACAAGTTACTTTTTAATTGTGTCAGACCAGTTTTTACATGTAAAATGACTTTGTTACCCTTTGACTTTGTAAAAATTCCCTTTAATCTAAAGAATTGTTTAAAAGACTAAAATACCCATGCCTTTTCCAAACAAGATAATGACCCAATTCAATTAAACACATTGGAAAAAAAAAAAATTACACACATATTAATATATATATATGAACATATATGGACAATGACGGCTGAACTATGTGAGACTTTACATGAAATTTACTTACCATAATTTTAAAAAAAAAAAAAAACTTTAAATGAAAATAAGTAATTTATTGAATTAAACTACAAGAAGTTTGCGTACAATTTTAGTGTACTCTAAGGTCCAATTATGTGGCCACATCATGGTTGAGAGTACCAATGACCGTAAGGGCATACCGTGTCAATTTCTATTCAAAACTTAATTGAAAACCCAATTCAAGTCCATCCAATTAAAAATCTCTCTCTCTCTCTCCAACTAGGACTATTGAGAGAAAATACTAACGTTGTCACCATTTCAAGCTTCTTTGCCACGTCCCTTCGCCACCTCCACTCCCATCACCACCTCATTACATTTTCTTCCTCTGCTGCTCACACCCCTTTAGTGGTGGAGATCATACCCAAAACTCTTGGTATGATGATCATCTTCTCACTTAAGTTTCTACACTATTATTTCCTTTACAATCTATATTATATATGCATATATATTATGATTGAGTACTTTGTTGTTGTGTATAGGAATGGAAGAGATTTTCAATTAGTCAACGGTCTATGTATATATGCGTGTATATTTTATATATATATATATATATGTATTTACATGTATATGTGTGATAGAGAGAGATACTGCAAATTAGTTATCATTTACTTTTCATGGGTAAAGCTCAGTTTGTGTGAGAGAGAGAGAGAAGGTCAATTTGGTCCTTTCAAGTTTCTAATGTATTAGGATTAAAATACAAGAAAGAAATGAGGGTATAAATGTCCATTCACATCTTTTTAACGGTGTTAGAGACGGAAAAGTAATTTGGGGTGTGAATGATAGTTGTTTTTGAAAGGTGTTTCAATGTTATATTTGGCCAAACCTGAAGGGGTGTCACTGAAATTAACCCTTTTTATTATATATAAGCAATATATAGATGGGGGTCGGAACAGAGTTCTCTCTTATTTTGGTTTTGAAAAAGAAAGATCAATAGAGAAATCAAGAAGAAAAGAGAAAAAATTTAATGTTAACAAAGAAAAATAGATGATGTTTGTGTCTATTGGAAGGAGCTAAAGTCAATTAAAGGCTTCGCCGAATGTTGCTTGAACTTGCTTGGCTTGACAATGGATTAGATTTTGATCAAATCCGATCTGATCACTCATAAAAGGATTGAAAATTTGATCCGATAACACATTAGCAGTCTGAGTTCAATAATTAGTTAGCTAAACAAATCGGATATGGACTACGGTTAATGCGATCTGACAGAATATATTATATAAAATGTTAAAACACATATTATCTAATGCTATAATTTTCTTCTCCTTTATCTTCCAAATTTTATTTGTCTTTCGTTTTCGCTCCTTTTTATTTGGATTACTATTTGTCAATCTCTTTTCACATTAATTTCTCCTTTAAAAAAATACACCCTTATTGGATTGAATATCTGGTTAATAACAAATCGAATATGAATTTTCATTCATGAAATATCCGTCGAGTTATCGGATCAGAACAAATCAAGGAATATCCTTATCAGATTTGGATCAGATAAACCCTCATCTGGTACGAATCTAATCCACTTACAGGTCTAGCTAGAGGTTGTTGAAGATGCAGTAGGTCAAAATCAACAAACAATCCTACGTACGATCTTTACTAATTTGACTAATGACCTACCAGCAAACAATTTTTTATGCACCAGATCAATAGAGTAATTTGGGATCGTAGGATCCATATTGTGATTTAAAAAACCATGCTAGTAGTGGCAATATTAGTAAGCAGACAACTAAAGGCCATAATCCAGCGCTGGTCCGCTTATACAGTAAGTTTCTAGAAGCCTGGAACCTGCATTAAGCACCATATTGCATGAAATATTTGCTCCCAAACTCTTACCTATGTCCTCATGCTTGTTAGATAAGTTTTATCATTGCACCCAATAATAGTTATTAAACAGACAAGAAACAAGAAAAAGAACATCCAACAAAATAAAGTCTGAATTGGACTGGGAAATATTAACGAACAAGGCTCAAGAAGACGAATGATTTAAAATCTCGATCCTCTCTTGAACTGGAATTGTTGATGTCAAACACTTTCCACCGTCTAAAAATATAAGCTTGAATTCAATAGATTGGCGGCTTACCTGTATCTAACAACCTAAACAAAATATGGTTTCAGAATTTAAACTAAACATACTAAATGGGTGCTAGATCAAAGACATTTTCAGCACAGATTTGAACCATAACAATTGAATTTGTTTCATGTATACGAGCTCTGTACATCATAATTTATATTATAGAGGAGGAAGGTGACAACTGTTGAACTAACCAAACAAAATAAAAATAAAAATAAAAAATGGTGTTATATGTAGTTCATTTATGCTATGTTTGGTTGGAGGGAAGGAATGAGGAGGGATGGATAAGAGGGGGGATAAAAAGAGTTTTTTCTTGTTTGGTTGAAGGGAAGGGAAAATAGGGAGGCAGCAAGGAGGGATGAAGTGGGGAAGAGGAGAGAGAAAGGAGGAATAATTGGTAATTTTCATTTTTAACCTTTCCAAAAATTGGGAATGGATATCTAATTTTTATAATTTTATATAATGAGTGTATATTGGGAAAAAGAATATAAAACCCTTTTTCTCTTCCTTCCAACCAAACAAAAAAGGAAGTGTCACCCATTCATCCTTTCAACTATCCATTCAATCCAACCAAACAAAAAATGAGGTGGACACCTTCCCTTCGGATGCCTCATCCATCCCTTTCCCTCTCCCTTGCATCTATTTCCCCATCCCTCCAACCAAACACAGCATTAGTTACTTTAAATGTCGTGCTTGTGTTAGAGGCACATTTTTGGGTGAAAGTTAAAGCACGTACACCCATTATTCAGTGGGACTAAACTCTCAACCTTCCCTTTGTGATGAAAGATCATACCATTGGAACAGAGGTCCTTTGGTATGATGATATTTTTTTGTTAAAGGGGTTATCTATGGGGCGTGTCTCCCGCTCACCAGAAGGCATAAAAACAAAACAGAGGATGAGGCATGCATCATGCATCTAATGAGTACAACTCCAAATATTTGGAATCCCAATGGTTAAATAACTGCCTTGGCATCTTGCCATAACTGATCAATTTGATCAGAAATTACTTTCAGAAACCTTGAGAAATGACAAGCATTCACATACTTTACTATTTTACTTTTGATTTTACATATTCCGTGCAACGTTCAATTGGAGTATACTGTTATCGACAGTATTCCTTCATCCACTTACTAATGCAATTAAAAAGATTACTACTATACAATTATCAGCTTGAGACTGACGAAGTTAGTTTTAATACAAATGTAACTAAATTTTATATGATCCTATATACTCTCTCAAATTTTCAAAACCCTAATTACAAGATCAAAACCCCAATTACAAGATTAACATAAATAAATAAATAAATAACACATATAAGAATGTACAGAATGAGTATTTATGTGCGTGTATATAAAAAATTGAAGATAATTCTGCAACAACAGCTTACCTCATTATTAGGGCAAAAGAACGGCTCGACAATGAAGAACAAACCTAGATTCAACATTGGCGATAGTTCGGACGCTCCCATCCAGGCGATCTCATCGAACCATATATAATTTCTCTCTTCTTGAAAAAATCATATAGTATTATTGCTCAAATCTATTTATTTTGTTTCTAAAATGGAAAATAATACATTCATCCTTCAACCTCAGTCTTACAACCAATTTATCCAACTCTCAACTTTTTTACCGGCCACTTTTATGGAGTAGAATTTGTGAAATGTGAATATCGGATTTTATATATATATATATATATATCGTATTAAATGCAAGAACATGGTAGTGAAGTGGTATACATACATATAATGGGTTGTAAAAAAAATTAAAATTATAAACATATACTAGTAATAAAACATAATTTAGCATAAATTGTACACCGATCAAACATTTTTTTTTTTTTTTTTTCTATCAATTTTGATTAAATAAAATTTAAGAGTTAAATTTTAAGTATGTGCCTGGAGTAATATTAAATTTTAATTTTTCAATATTTTTTTTAATTTCGTGATACATGATCATTTTTCTTATAAATAACCTAATTAAATTATTAAATAATTTGAATTAAATTTTAAAATTAAGTGTTGTGTTTATTTACTAAAGAGTGTGAGTGTCACATAAATGGCACTTCACAATGAGGGCAAATCTACTAAGAGATAAATATTCTAGTTTAATTATATTTTCTCATTTTTTTAAAATAAAAATAAAAATAAAAATTTTTAATTTTCGCCCTCGTCAAGATATGGTGGATGTGTGGATTTCATCATTGCAGAGTAAAAAATAACTTATATGGAACATTATGTACTTGATGTTTAAAATTATTTTGTTTTGATGCTTAATATGGAGTTAGAGCCAATCACTCAAATATTTAACACAAAATAGATTTGAGTTTTGAGATATGTATTTGTGCACCAAAACGACATCAATACAGTGAGCAGGGAATTTTTTTTTTTTTTTTTTGTCCAGAGGCAAATTGTTATCATTGCAAAGGGCACAAAGGCTAAGCCAAGAATGGCAGTACAGAGGCATAAAGCCAAGCCAGAAAAAAGCAAACAAAATCTAAAGCAAAACAAGAAAAATGAAGACCAGGCTCCAGATCGGCTGAGAAAGAGCCGCCGCTCGACAACGGGAACCACCAAAGGAGAAGAACAGCAACTAGAGGGACCCAAAGGTCAGGCCATCATCTAGGCAACAACGCCAAAGCTGCATCCACAAGGTGCCGTCACACACCCAAACCCCGCACAAGACAAAGCAAGTCAGGGACAACCAAACCCGACATAGATTATGTTGGGATTTATATGCCCTGGCATAGCAAATTCCTATCTGGATTATAGTGACATATGTTCCTGACGTTTCTGAAATATTTATGCTTTATACAATTGGTGAATTCAATATATTATGTTTCGATTCATTATAGAATTGAAAGTGTCCACTTGATTACAAGAGATATTTATATATGTATGTGATGGCGATCAATACATGATTATAAATAGTAATCATAAATTGTTCATAGTCGGTAATTATGGATGGACTCATAATTAATTAAGACTTAAACTGAATCCGCGTTAGGTTGAGATATATTGCGAGAGCCGTCATATGCAATTGCTCCCTATCACCGTCATGGCATTTGACTCTTAAGCATGAGAAAAGTATAGACTCTTGTATTAATTAATAATTACTTTGATTTGTTCGGCGGATTCTTCGGGATCCTTAGACCGACATTTTGAGTAATTATGTAATTAATAGTTAGAGAGTTATATTTTCAATATTTGCATCATTACTACTTGTATTTATTTTGTATTGATTATGATTGATCATAAAGTAAATTTGAAGGCCTTTGTATGTTTTTAGACAAAATGATTTATTATATATTTATTTATTTAAATTATTATTTTTGTCAAACAAATGTTTTATTGTGATCAAGTCAGAAATAATCAATGGTACCAAAATAAATATATTAATTAAGTAGTCGGATTGATGGCTTTATTTATCCAATAACTAATTATGCATAGAAGGGTCAAAGTGCAATATTGACTTAGAGATTATTTATTATTTAATTGGAGTTCAATTAATTTCTTTTAGTGGAGTATAAATTAATTTATGAATTGATTAAATTGGGTCCATGGACCGGACCAATTATTAATTCATTGTAGCCAATAAAATAATAAGCCCAAAAGATTCTCACTCATAACCCAACTTGATATTGGAATCATATTAGATTTGAGACATGTGAATTAAAGATTGATAAGGATTAGTTGTTTCCTTTTCTTTACTTTTATGTTGCCTATAAATATACATGGTCTATGTATATTTTAGGGGTGATTTTGAGTAGAAGGAAAAAAGGAATATATTTTCTCTCTCTAGAAAATTAGAGTTTATGTTCTCATCTAATGGAGGCTCCCACAAACCTAGTTTTCCAAGGTCATTCATGGAGGCTTATGAGTAATTCCTAAAGGCAAAAAAATTATCAAGGAGATGGAGATCCAAGGAGAAGGCATCTTGCTAAGGGATATACAATAAGTGAGAACATTCACTTTAGAGGAAATATTTAAAGGTTTACTCAGACCTTTGATGTAAGTATTCAATCCATTAATTGAATGATACATTACATTTTATTTTTGCATAAAACTTGTCTCTATGTGATGAATCAAGATCTGTGAAAGAAAATCCCTCGAAAAGTTTTTAAAACTTGCACGTTTCCCGACAGTGGTATCAGAGCATGGTTTGATTCATTACTAGAGATCATGATTTTATAAATATTCATCATTCATGGATCCAAATTATATATATATTGATGTATGATTTTATATATTAATACATGATGATGTATGTATAATTGAGAATGGATGATGATGTGTGTTTGGGCCATGGATGAAGCTTATAGGTTTATTTAATGTAATTTTATCTTTGGATGAATGTAATTAAGGCTTTGATTTCGTCGTTTGAAAGTTCAATGATGTAATTTAATTTTTTCCATTGTATTTCAAATTGTAAATTTATTTAAAGCCATGTAATATTCATCAAAGGGTGCTACGAAGCTTCAAGAAAGTCCAAGAGGGTTAAACTAGGCTTCAGGAATTTTCTAGGATTTTTAAGAAATTTTTCAGAATTTTTCTGAAATTTTTTAAGGCTTAATTTAATTTTTAGAATTTTTTATTTAATTTCTGGAATTATTTCGGCGATTTTTCAGCAACCGGAGAACCGCCGGCGGCAAGTGCAGTGACCGGAGATGGTTGGCCAATCTAGTGTGGCGCGGTACACCCACATACCATGCACCAGGATCAGCATTGAAGGGAATTTATCCCATGCGGCGCACATAGGTGCACCTGGCGCGTGTGGAACATCGCCAGGAGGTGAACATGGGCTGGCGCGTGGGTGTCACGCGCCAGCCAAGGCAATTTGTCCCCACGTGGGTGGAGGCGCGTGGGAGCGCGTGCCTTCACCTGTTGCATCCCCCAGCGCGTGTGAGCGCGTGTGGGGCCCTCCGGGCGCGTTCCAAGTGCTGTTTTGCCTCCGCAAGCACGTACCAGCTCCCTGCAGGTATTCACAAGCTAATAGAAGACTCTCGTGCAGTTATTAGAGCAGAATCCATTGGCCATTTAATTTGTTTTTGTCTGTTGTTTATTTATTTATGTGATGCATGGAATTAGACAATTGTTAATTATTTATTGTTCATGCATTGGATCCATGATAATTAAATAAATGACTTAATTTATATTAATTAAATTATGAAAATTAATTGGATTTGATTACTAATTAATTAGAGTGTACTTATTGGGAAACGAAAAATTATTTTTGTAAATTATTTTAAAGTGTGCTTCAAATTAAATATTAGTGAATCATTTAAAGTCCAATATTTTCTAAATTTAATTGGATTAAAATCATGACGTTTTGTGTGCATTATATAATGTAAATGAATAAATTGAAAATCCTAATTATGAATGATTAAAAATTGAGTGGGAGTGGAGATTTTTATACATTGCCCCATGACCTTCGTTATTAATACCATTGTAATTAGATATTCAAAAATAAGGCCCCATGCATGATTTGAAGAGTCTTAATATTACAAGAATGGTTGTCTCATGAAAATAAAAATATTAAATGTTCATTGTAATTAGATTTTTTAAAATAATGCCCTACGCATGATTTAAAGAGTCTAGATTATAATGACAAGATATTTAATGTTTTATTTATCATTAGAGTTTTAATAGTGTTATACACTCAATTTAAAATCAATAGTGTTAGCTCCCCAACGGAGTGGTCTATGCTAGGTGATTTTAGAAAAGCTAAATATAATCGGGAATCATTTCATATAGATAGATAAGGCATTGTCTTAAGAGATATAGAAATGATGGGATTTGCCCGCCAATAGTAATAGTGAACTTCGCCAACCAAATAAGTTATTGGCGTATTGGTTATCCGATTTTTCATGCAGTGGTTAAGTGCAATACCCCTAGTTTTAAAAAGGATAAAATTGGGATTTTTATTTATTTATTTATTGATTAATTGATTTAATTATGCGATTTAGTTGTTTTGTTTTTCTTAAGTGATTAATAGTGTGTATTTAAATTAATATTGTTTAATTGTGAATAGTGGGTATGTATTTAATTATTTATTATCTTGAATTTATTTATGTGTTTTGAGTGATTATTTATTTGCTTTCCTTATTTGTTTTACGTGTAATTAATTAATTAAGTTTATGGTGTTACGATTATGTAATTGTGGGTGCCGATTTATAGGAGGTTGGAATTAGGGTTAAGTTTTTATAGTAGCCTATATAATTAACTTTACAAGTCTGCTGGGGTTAAAAACAAACCTATGCACGTAAGAATTCTTGAGAGAGAAAACAGAGGCACACATAATGGTTTTGAGAGGAAACTATATGGGCCACCAGTTAGAAGTTCAACCGTGACCTAAAGGTCGTATCAAGGAGGAAGGAGTGGATGGATTGTGGTATTGGAACTGAGCAGTAGGAAGGTTGCCGGTCGTCCGTTCATCGAAAACTCCATAGACGACGTTGTAAGGTTTCAAACCGAAACCTAAAGGCAAGTTTCATTCTATCTACTTCCTGTAAACTTGTGTTCTGTGCATTTTATATGGTCTCCAGGAAATTAATTTAACTTTAAAATGGAAGGTTGATACAAGATTATCAGACTGTAACCTGTTGCACGCTTAATTAACTGGTCTCAGTTCTCTTGCATAAATTGTGTTGTTTCG